CCTTGCTGAGCAAGGAGCCTGATGCCGGACTCGATCCCAGGACCCTGGGATCACAACCCGAGCCAAAGGCAGACGTTTAACTGACTGAGCCACCCAGGCGTCCCCCTTTGTTCATTTTTAATAGGATTGTAATTTTTGTTGATGAATCATAGGGGTTCTTTATATGTTAAGGGATGTTACACCCTTAACAGATACACGATTTCTACAAGCTCTCCTGTTCTGTAGATTGCCTTTTCACTTTCTTGATGATGTCCTTTGATGCACCAGAGTTTTTAAATTTGATGAAGTCCAATTTATCAGATTTTTGCTTTTGTTTTCTTTGCTTTTGATGATATAGCTAGGAATCCATTGTCATATCCACTGTTAGGAAGATTTACCATAATGTTTCTTTTTTGAAATACTAAAAGAACTAAACCGTTTTTTGGAAGTTGTGAACGTCTCTTTTTAAAAAAGCTACATTGTTGAAATGCTTTATTGGGTGACTGGGAATTGAATCCTAGATTTAATTCTTTGGAGACCTGTGAAAAGCCACCTTCTCCTGTGTCATAGGCCTTGTTTGTAAATGCTGGGAGAAGCTCCTTAAGAAGGTCCTGGTCTGGGTTGCTGGTAACGAATAGGTTTTTACTCTCAAGGCAACTCCTTTAGTTACCTGGGCTGCTGTGTTCAGAAGGATTCTGAGGTCTTATCTATGTTAAGTGGAAAGGAGAACTGGGCTCTATTAAAAATACCTTTCTTGAACTTGTTACATTGTGAAGTCTTTTGATGGAGGAGGCTGTTTCTTAAGATAACTTGATCACTCCTAACCAAAGTACTTAATCAGTGATAACTACTTGCTATATGGAAATTCAGTCAACAACAAAAAATATTTACAAGGGAATTAATGTAAATTGAGCACTACTGTGAGCCAGCTGGTGTGCTGTGTTTGACAGGAGAATTATGTAATCTTGCTAAGGTGGGTCACTTCGATGAGAAAATTGAGGCCTGGAGAAGTTGAGTGACTTCATTAAGCTATCAGTATTAGAATGACTTAGCAGTGACTCCGACTTATGCCTCTGATTTTAAAATGTTGTTTTTAGACATAAAAGCAGATCGTAATTAACATATGGTGCGTAATGATTTAAGGAGATTTAAGGAGATAAAACGTGAGTTACATAGAGATACAATGAGATTATCATAATGACATAAAATAGAATATCAAAGTTGCAGAAAGTAGAAAGAAAAACATCACCCATTGTTTCTCCCTTTGAACCCATCACCTTGTTCATTTTGTAGTATTTTTCTCCTGGTCTTTTTTTTTTTTTTTTAACCTGTGCCAAAGTTTGTTTTACAAGATTGTAGCCATAATGTATACATAGTCTCTTGTACTTTGCCTTATGGATTTTATCTGATAAGCCTTTTTTTTATGTTGTGACATAGGATATTGGTAATTCAGTTAAACTCTATAAGAAACTCTAGGTGATCTTGTTTCCTTGTGTAATAAAATTTTAGTCAGGAGCTAAACCACTGTTCTTTGTACTGCCAGGGTGTGTTTTTTTGATAATAATTTTGGAAATTCATATTTCATGTTAATTAGAAAATAAAAACACTGGCTAAAATGTGAAGTATTAAAGAATTTTCAAAAGGTCATTTCTTGGAGGTCATACTTTCATCTGTAATCTAGTGCTGATTCTTGAGAGCAGGTCTTAATAAAATAATTCTCCATATTTTAAATCCTCTGTAACCCATAACCTTGGATTTTGTTGCCCAAGCTTGCTTGCTTAATTGCTTCCTTCTTTCCTTCCATCCATGTATTCATTCTTTATTGAGGGCTCAAAAAGAACTTAAAATGCTGGTAGTGGAGTTGAGATATGCAAAGATAATGCAATGCTAAGAAGATTGTGCTAAATGTAGAAAATATTGATAGGAAAAACTGAGTGCTCTGGAAAGTCAGCAACGACGCAGCTACCTCATGCTGTTGCCAATCAATACAGTTTAAGGACTTGAGCAGGTTTTGAAGGGTGGGGAGAAGTTGAAGCTTTTTGAAATGTATCATTGATTTCGCTGCCTCACTTTGGGATTGATGCTGTCATGCTTGCTTAGGGGCCTTCTGTGGAGGAAAACATTTGAAAGCAGGCATTCCTCTAAAAATTTAAACTTTTGGCTTTTTAAAATCAAAAGTTTACTAACTTACTTATTCCGTGTTACTAAGTTCCCTCTTCTCTTAGATGAGAAAATGGAGACTAGCCGTTCATCGTTGTGTGTAAATGAACCTAAGGATGATGTACTATTACTTGAGATTGTAACCGTTTTCTTTTTTTTTTTTTTAAAGATTTTATTTATTTATTCATGAGAGACAGAGAGAGAGACAGAGGGAGAGGGAGAAGCAGGCTCCCCGCGGAGCAGGGACCCCGATGCGGGACTCGATCCCAGGACCCTGGGATCATGACCCGAGCCGAAGGCAGATGCTTAACCGACTGAGCCACCCAGGCGTCCCAAGATTGTAACCGTTTTCAAAGTTAACTTTCTACAACTCATTTATAAATATCTTATGAAATAAGTAGTCCATTTGAAAGTATTAAAATGCATTTAAACATATTCCTGTTCTATAATGCAAACCTTCATCTGTCGCTGTTGAAGTCACAATAGCTTTTCATTGATAATTCCTTCTCCAAATTGTTAGAAAGGAATTGTGGTAGCTAGCAAGATAAATTGGCCCATGTTACTTGATTTTTATTATGGAGCTGGCAGTGCTCCGCAGATGTCTGCGTGCTACAGAACAGGATTTGATATTCGTTTTTTAATCTCACTCTTTGAACCATGCTTTATATTTCATGTGTTCAGTTGACAGATTTATATCTTGTGTCTGAGATTTGACTTCCTGATAGTTTTTAGCTGCCTCTTAATGCCCTGAAATGTCATTCTGTTATGTAGTATGTTGGCACCTTATTGTGACCTATGAAGTCTTAGAGAAGATATATTTTAATGCTAAAATAAGCATTAATTTATGTGCATCCATATAGTTTTGTTTAGTTGATATTTCATTTGGTTATGTTTTTTCAGAGCTCATTTAAACTCAGATTTTCAAGGTCTGCTATTAGGGAAATGCCATAAACATAATTCGTCTACTCCAAGAAAGGCAAATGGAACATCAAACGGAGATCAATAAAAATGACATTTCAAAATGCTAGCCTGCAAATTGTGAATCATGCTGAGCCATGCAGTGGAATGAATTTCCTCTGCCCCTTGGGTATGTGTAGAAAGTACAATGAGGAGAGAGCGCTGAGTAAGCCTCAGCCCTTACGCTCTCATGTTCTTCCTACCATACTTCTAAAAAACCTTGTTTCTGAATGTTAAATTTAAAGCAGTATACTTGAATGATTATGATGTGCTTTTGAGTAGAAAGAAGTATGCATGAGATCTCCGTTTATCTTCTGTCAAGAAAAGGTTAATAAACTAGCAGAAAAGCTTTCTGAGAAACAGTTTTGACAAGGCACAAAGATATATAAGTGGAGGTTCATTTAACAGTATTCTTCTTTTCCTTTGTTTCAAAGTAATTAAACTTGATGTCCTAAGCACCATCAGAGAGTCCTGTGTATGAGCGAATTGTACCCCAGTCCTTCATGGTTTCAAACCATCTTTCATTTCTTCCTGGTGATTTGGCAGCTTCTCCTGCCCTCAGTGGGCATCACTTGGTGAGGGATAGGCAGTCCTTCTGATTGTGTTTAAGTAACAGAACCTGACACAGCTTTACCTATGGGGATCTTCCTTCTCTTTTTTCCTTTAAGGCCCTTGATTGTTGTTGTCATTCTTTCAAGGATGAGTGTTTGCTTCCCTAATATGAAACGTACGCTCTGTTGCTCCGTTTTAGTTCTGACTACATGTATAATACTTTT